TAAAATTCGGAAAAGGCACTCAAAGTGTCCCAACGCAGTTTAAAGGTTAGGCATGGGTTGCATTATTTAATGGTAGAGTGGACAAATGGCAGTGATGAATAGTAAATTCTATCAAAAGTAAGTGATTTGCATGCACAATATCAGGAAAATTAAACACCCTAAGTATGACTGGACAAAGAGTTGATGCATCAATACGTGTGCCCTAAGTTCTGAGTCTCCTATGTGTGTCTTTCAGAGTTGGCCGGACCGGAAATAAATCCATCCTCGTAAATTCAGTGTGTACTCAGAATACAAACACAGCAACATAGGGAGTTGTATGACTGATACGGAAAACTTCATCAAAGTTTTAATCAAAGCAGTTTAAGGTATCAAAAATGGCTTACTATCAAAAAGTATCAAATAAGTTCAGCTTGCAGCCAAAATATGGATCATTAATGAAGCCGGTTTGCATTTTACAGGTATCAATAAAATCCTCATCTGAAAAATCCAAGCTGCAAAGAATTGATTATAAACATAAATAGCAGTGACTATAATTTTCAAAGCAGTTGTGTGCATGCAACATTAGTGGCTAGAGATTGTCAAATATGTGATAACCAAATAGAAACGCACACATTGCCAGACACAGACCATCCTGGCCAACATGGTGAAACCCCATCTCTACTGAAAATACAAAAAAATTTAGCCAGGTGTGTTGGTGGGTGCCTGTAGTCCCAGCTACTCACGAGGCTGAGGCAGGAGAATCACTGGAACCCAGGAGGCAGAAGTTGCAGTGAGCCGAGATAACACAGTGAGACTCTATCTCACAAAAAAGAAAAAAGAAATATACACATCGTTATCTCATCTCCTCCATTTTTTCATGCCATGTGGATTCACCCCATAAGACTAAATCTTTTCCAGCTAAAGCCTTATGAGTGAATGCTAAGTAAAAGCCATTGACCCCGTGCATTCAGTTATATAAGGAAACAAATTTCATATGTTATTTTACTGTCCCAATATTCTTACATACCCTTTTTTACACTTACAGATTTGTTCTGAAACATTTCTAACAAGAGACACTCCTATTTTTTTTTTTTTAAACGGAGTCTCACTGCAACCTCTGCCTCTCAGGTTCAAGTGAGTCTTCTGCCTCAGCCTTTCTAGTAGCTGGGATTACAGGCGTGGACCACCACTCCAGGCTAATTCTTGTATTTTTAGTAGAGACAGGGTTTCCCCCACATTAGCCAGGCTGGTCTCGAACTCCCAACCACAGGTGATCCACCTGCCTCAGCCTCCCAAAGTGCTGGGATTACAGGCTTGAACCATCGTGCTGGACCATACTAATGTCATTCTTTGGTGACCATAACGATACCCTTAATTTTAACAATGTCATTCTCAGACACATCTACTGAGGAGCCCCATAAAATTCACTAAATGAGCTCAACATTCTATGTTTTTCATGAAAAAGAAAAATTCATAGTTTAATTATATTCAAGTTCTCCTCAAAGGTCAAATTGGTGAAAAAACATTTCCTTCCACAGTTTACTTATGCCTGCAAACGAAAGAGAAAGTGATCACAAGGCCTTATTGTTTCTGCTTTCTGAAGCATGTTTTACTAGAGGGGGAAGTAGAACCGAGGTCAGTCACTGCCGAGCATGCCCACACAGGGTACACTGCCTGGGTTAGCCCTGCTCCACAGGGAGCTGTATTAAAAAGGCGAAAAGCCCAAACTGCCAAGTACCCCTGCATTTCAGGGTCTATGTACCTCCAAATTATACTTCAAGCAAATTGTTTCTTTCTTTTGTTTTTTACTATGCTCACTCCAGTTTTTTTTTTTTTCTATTTTCTCTTCATATCTTAAATCAGAGGCCCCCTCTAGTGTTTGAAAAGTCACAGGCAACACACATGCAATTGAAGGAAAACAGTCACAGCATTTTACTAAATCCAGACCTTCCAAGACAAAAGGCACGCTTCTGTTCCATTCAAGTGGCACGAAAATCAATGAGAGAAAAATAGCTAACCGTAACTAATAGTGCAAATTCCTGCTACGATTCAGATTCATTATCCTCTCATTCAGTAATTTATTATTAACTGCTGGGTTATTTTTTAGACGATTAATACTTTGTTAATAAGGAAAAAATATATGTTAAAAAGAAAAAAATGTTAATAAAATATGCTAATAGGGAAAAAAGTATAGGGACTTTAATTTCCCCAATAAAAAATCTATCTCATTTAAAATGACAGAAAATTAATGTTACCATATATCCTGCTCCGCTGCAGTGGAAGTTATTGGTGGCTCCTAACGTATATGCTTAAATGTATTATATTTGGAGATCAGAACTTTTTAAACTACATGTATTTTGAAACTCAACCCAATCTGTGCATTTGCCAAAAGTTTTTCAGTACTCTGTAAAACGAGGTGGAAAGCGTTACTTTGCGGACAGATGTCCGCTCTGAAGAATATGATAAAAAGGAACTCTTAGAGTTTGGTCAGACGTGACACCTCATAAATCCAATGACTGAATCCTATACACTTTTGAAAAAGATTGATTGAAATTAGGGGGAGTAAAAAATAGTTGATTTTCAGTCTATTTTTTCAGCTAGCATCTTTGTGTGTCTGTTTCCATCTCCTATTACAGAGGGTTTAAACTAACAGCTAGTATTACTATAACCAGAAAAGAAAAAGAAATCTCTAATTTTAACAAAAGAAAACAACACAAACTTGAGCAAGAAACCAACAGAGAAAACTATGTTAAGCTGATACTTCATGTTCTTAAAAGTTATGAGAACACTGAAAATTTGAAAACTCAATAGCTCTTGAAACAAATTTAATCCTTATTAACTTGATTTAAATGAATGACAAATTTGTCACCCAGTATATCATATGGCTTCCCTGCCCCGATCTTGTTTTGTTTTCAAACTTGTCACCTGCAAATATGAGTTAAGGAAAAAAGGTCATCTAAAATGAATTAAATTGGTTACAATTGGTTTCAACTTTTAAGACATTAAAGAATGCAAAACTCATAGTAACCTCTCCTGTACAGAGTTCACCCTTATCCAAAATATATCAGCATGAGGCAGAGTGTGGTGGCTCATGCCTGTAATCCCAGCACTGGGCCATTTGAGCCCAGGGGTTCAAGAACAGCCTGGGCAACATGGCAAAACCCAGTCTCTACTAAAAATACAAAAGATTAGCTGGGCATGGTGGCTCGTGCCTGTAGTCCTGTAGTCTCGGCTACTCAAGGGGCTGAGGTGGGAGGATCTCTACAGCCTGGAAAGTCAAGGCTGTAGTGAGCCATGATCACACCACCGCACTCCAGCCTGGTGACAGAGCAAGAGCGCAAGATCCTGTCTCAGGAAAAAAAAAGTATCGGCATGCATGGTATTTGGAAACTTACAAATATTACCTTGTTGTTCAGATTTCTAAACTATCTTTCCCAAATGATAATTGCCAACATTTATTGAGTGCTGTGATGTGCCAGATGGGTATGTTTTGATCTCATTTAATACTTATAAAAGCTCAAGGTGGTTTTAGGTACTCTTTTTATCCCAGTTTTAAATATGTGAAAACCGAGGCACAGAAAGGTTAAGTCATGTGCCCAGTGTTCTGTTTATCCATTGCTACAAAACAAATCTGCCCAATGTTTAATGGCTTAAAACAAGTCTTATCTTTTATGGTTTCAGTGGGGCAGGAATTTGGGAACAACTCAGATGGGCAGTTCTGGCTCGGGGTCACTCGTGCGGCTGTAGTCAAACAGTAGCTGGAGTTAGAATAGGGCGAACCGTGAGAACCAGGGGAACCGAGGCAGCTCAGAGCTAGCCAGGCACCTCTCTTTGTGTAGTCTTAGGGTCGCTCCATGTGTTCCCCGGGATTTCCCACAGCATGGCCGCCTCAAGGTGGGTGGACTGCTTACCTGGCAGCACAAACCTCCAGTAAGAATGGAACCAGCAAGGGGAGTTGCACCCCCATTTTTGACCTTGCCTTGAATATCACACAACATCACTTCCAGGGTCACGGTCCACCCAGGTTCAAGGGGACGGAACACAAACTATAAATGTCACCTCTTGAGGGAGAAACGGCCTCATCCAGAAGAGATAGGACAGGATATTATTGCATCCATCTTTGACAGACAAAATCTGCTGTGCCCAATGATGTGGCAAGTGGGAGAAGAGCTGTAACTCTAATCAAAGCACTGTCCTGCAGAGCCCACTACACTACAGAGCCGCCAGGCTCATGCTGCCATGGCTTATCCTAAATAAATTTGTCTTCAGCTAAATGACGTATGCCTGAGGCACTATGCATTTTATGAATTAAGACCTCTCCTTGCCTGGGCGTCCCTGGCTCAAGCCTGTAATCCGAACGTTTTGGGAGTCCGAGGGGTAAGGATTGCTTGAGGCCAGGAGTTTGAGACCAGCCTGGGCAACATAGCAAGACCCCATCTCCACATAAAATAGAAAAATTAGCCAGGAATGGCAGTGCCCACCTGCTACTCCGAAGGCTGAGGCAGGAGGATCACTTGAATTCAGGAGGTGGGGCTGCAGTGAGCCATGACTGCACCACTGCCCTGTGGCCTGGGCGACAGAGAGCCTGGCTCTTAAAAATAAAAATAAAGCCCAGGAGCGGTGGCTCACGCCTGTAATCCCAGCACTTTGGGAGGCCAAGGCGGGCGGTTCACAAGGTCAAGATATTGAGACCATCCTGACTAACATGGTGAAACCCCGTCTTTACTAAAAATACAAAAATTAGCCTAGAATGGTGGGGCACGCCTGTAATCCCAGCTACTCAGAAGGCTGAGGTGGAAGAATCGCTTGAACCCAGGAGGCAGAGGTTGCAGTGAGCCGAGATCGCGCCACTGCACTCCAGCCTGGGGACAGAGCAAGACTCCATCTCAAAATAAATAAATAAATAAAAATAAAAAGACTTTTCCTTCAGTCTATGGTAGTAAATCTAGTGCCCTGAACGACGCAAATTTATCCCACGTATTTACCGTGGGCCAGTTTGTGGGCTGGTTGCTGCGGCCATAATGGAAGACCAGTGGTCTTCTGACAGTGTGCTCAGTGCCATAGAAATGGGTACAAGACCGGTGAATGGAGGGGCTGTCTGGGATTCGCGTTAACATACTCCTGAAAACAACATATCCAGGTTGGAGAGAAATGGCTGAAATAAGACTTGAAAAATGTTGATGCCATTAAAGATGGGTGGGCCTGGCGGGGCTCATTTACATTCACTCTCCTTTTGGGTATGTCTGAAAATTTCCATCATAATAAAAAAAAAAAGGATACAAGGTAGAAAGGAGCCCCAGGAAAGGATTAACTTTGTAGAGAGTATGAGGAGTAGGGCTTCCTCAAGGAGTGACATTGACATTGGAGTTGTTTCTGTTTTTGTGTTCATAATAAAATGATTCTGTGCTTTTGTTGTGTGGGAATGCATTTCCATCATCCACGAACAGATAATGTTCTGTGAACTGGGTTTTGGAGGGCGTAGAAACGTTTGTAAAATAAACAGATCAAGGAAGAGCTTTCCAGGTGATGAAAGGGACTGTTGGCACATGCCCCTGAGGCACACTGGCATGCCAGTGCTTTCAACGTAGACAGACCTGTCCACTGTTGAGTAAACCTAACCTTTATTTTTTTCTACCATAGATGCTCAGTGATAAGAGAATGGGGGGTGGGGGATGACACTCACTTTAAAATGCAAGAGTGCTTGCTGCTGTCTCCCTGCTGCCTTGGAGGAAGCTAGTCTTCTTTTTGGTAACGCTCATCAGATTGAAGAACTGTAGTCTGGAAAATATTTGATCTTGGAGAGGAATTCACAATCATTATCTCAACAAAGGACTGAATTCCAAATGCCAAATTTAACAGGAACAACTAAGAAACCCTTTATTCAAGATGAAATACAGAATTATTCAATCATAGGATGGGAGGAGCTCCATGGCGGCTTTTTAACAAATAGCTGATATATTTTTTTAATCAAAGCCATTAGCGGCCACCGGCTGGTCAGACTACATTTAGGATATTCTCTCCACTTCTGATTGCCATCTTTATTTCATTCTACTTTTTTTGTGTGACAATTTCAGAACAGACACAAAAGTAGAGGCTGTATGTAACGCACTTCCACACTTGTACTCAGCTTCAGCCATGAATGCCTTGTCCTCCACCGTCCATTGTCCTTAACTCAGAAAGAAAAGGACTTTCTAAATTACATAACCACAATGCATTATTACATCTAATAAATTAACAGTTGTCTAACATATTTAATTTTCCCTAGGTCCTTTCACAGTTGGGTTGTTTGAATGGATCCAAACAAGCTCCATCTTTATAGTTAGTTACCTGGCAAGTCTTTGTTAAATTTCATTTATGTCCCCTATTGACTTGAAGAAGTGGGTCAGTTGATTTTTGTAAAACATCCCACACTCGGGGTTTGGTTAATTGCAACCCAGCGTGTTTATGTAACTTGTTCCTTCCTCTGTCTACTGTTCTTCCAGTGGACTGGGAGTTAGAGTTCCAAGCTGGCTGAGCTCAAATTCTTTCTCCCTCTCATCCTCCCTCCTGTTCTTCTCTCCTCTTCCTTCCTTCCACCCTCCTTCTCTCCCTCACTCCTTCCTTCCATTTTTTCTCTTTTTTGGATAAGACTATCTCATAGGTGATATGATATATTTCCTATCGCCACACCTAATGTCTAGTTGTCTCACGTTTTGTGATAAGATTGATCAATGAGTTTAGAGGGTGACAAATTCCTTTATCACAAGATTCAGCTAAACAGCGATCAATGCAATTGTCTGAATTGCATTGATCAGATAGCTGAAGTGTATATTTAACTTAGTTAAATGTTTTAAAACTAGAAGTTATTTAACTAGACGTTGCAAAATGTAATTAAAGAATGTTATTTTGTATTCATTGACTGAAATTCTTAGAGAATTTTTTTCCTCATTCACTAGGTCTATTTAATTACCCTACAATATAGGTCTTAGAGCAAAGAGAACTTATTTTCTTTAATTTAGCTCAACAGACAAGGAAGCAAAGATAATTTTAATAACCTAATTCCGTCTCTTTGTGATTTTCTCCTCCTTCTCCTTCTTCATTACTATTATTATTTGAGACACAGCGTGACTCTGTCACCCTGGCGGGAGTGTAGTGGCATGATCTCTGCTCACTGGAGCCTCACCTCCCTGGTTCAAAGATTCTTCTGCCTCAGCTTCCCAAGAGTAGCTGGGATTACAGGTGCGCGGGGCCACCACGCCTTGCTAATCTTTGTATTTTTAGTAGAGGCGGAGTTTCACCAGTTGGCCAGGCAGGCCTCCAACTTCTGGGCTCAAGTGGTCCTCTCGCCTCGGCCTCCCAAAGTGCTGGATTACAGGAGTGAGCCCCAGCGCCCGGCGTTCGTATTTCTAGTTTGCAATGTGATGAGTTGGTGGCCCTCCTATCTCTTACGTTATCCCAGAGCTTCCGTGTTTGTGGTTCGTGCTCTCTCCGTTTCTACCCAGTTCTCATGGAATAACGATGTAAATTGGGAGCCTGACGTCGGGGATCTCGGGTTAGGGTGAGGGCTTTCCGGGGGTGTTGGCAGCGGCTGGTGCCAGCGCCCTCCGTGGAGAGCGTCTCCCTCCATCGGCTTCCCTCAAGCTTCGTGCCTGGCCCACCGCTCAGACTCTCCATTCTGAAAACTAAAGTTCACAAGGTATCTTCAGCTGCCAGGATAAAATCAAGAAGGCAGCTTCAAACACAGCCTTTATCGAATGAAAACCAATATTAATGTGCGGGTGGTCCGAACGGTCACCTTGAGAAATCAGTGCCAGGGCCTGACATGGAGAAGAGATTACATTATGTTTAATAAATGCCTTTTACGTTCATTCTTCGAAAACGGGTACTCATTGAATGACGGCTTTTTTACCACACACGAACACTAGCGGATACGTGTAACTGCGCCCTGCGACATTTTATTTTTCCCGCTGCTTCCTACTCCGCTGCCAGGTGGCAGTGTCCACGGTGCTTACCGAGGGCGCGGGAAACAGGAGGGTTCCGGTGCTGCTTCCCTTCCGCGCACAGAAAATTCTCCCAGGCCGGCGCAGCGGCTCACCCTTGTAATCCCAGCGCTTTGGGAGGCTGAGGGGAGCGGTTGACTTGAGGTCAGGAGTTCGAGACCAGCCTGGACAACTTGGTGAAACCGTCCCTACTAAAAATACAAAAAAATTTAGCAGGGCACGGTGGCGCTCCTGTAATCCCAGCACTTTGCGAGGACAAGGCAGGTGGATCACCTGAAGTCTGAAGTTCGAGACCAGCCTGGCCAACAGGGTCTCTACTAAAAATACAAAATTTAGCTCGGTGTGGAGGGGGGCATCTGTAATCCCAGCTCCTGGGGAGGCTGAGGTGGGAGAATCGCTTGAACCCGGGAGGCGGAGGTTGCAGTGAGCCTAGATGGCGCCAGTGGACTCCAGCCGGCGACAGTGGGAGACCCCGTCTTTAAAATAAAAAAACAACCCACCCCACCAGCCCTGCCTCTCTGGCGAGTCCCGCCCTCCCGGCTCCCGCGCCCGGTCCCGGCTTCTCCCGCCCGGCAGCTGGGCCGTTCGGCGCGGGGCGGGGCGTCGGGGCGTCTCCGCAGCGGTCAGACCGGCCTGGGGACTTCGGGACAATGAGCCTTTCTGTCTGAAAGCCGGGACCCAGCGCCGCAAAGAGACTTCCCTGCGGCTGCGGGAGAGACCTGCAGAAACTCCTGCGAGCCCAGCGGGCGGGCGCCCTGGGCTTCGGGGGAGCGGCCGCCGCGTGACCGGGACTCCCCTGCGCCTCCGTCCCAGCCGCCGCCAGCACCTGCCCTGGGAAGTGTCCGTTGCGGACACTGCAGGGGCCTTCAGTGGGAGCTGTCGCCGCCTGCACCCGCGCCGCTGCGGTTCGCGGGAAGCCCCTGTGGCTTTTCGGAAGCACAACGCAGAACGTCCGGTGAGGATTTGCAAAGCCCCCCCGGGAGATGTAGCCGCGTGAAACTTCTGGTTGCACCTGGTCTCTGCCGCGCCTGGCTCTGCCGCATCTGGCCTGTCTGCTGAACTTGGCTTCTGCCATGTTCATGAACTTGGCCTCTTCTGCACCTGGCCTCTCTTGCATGTGCCCTGTCTGCTGCACGTGGCCACTGCCACACCTGGCCTCTGTGCTGCCCCTGGCCTCTGCTGCCCCTGGCCTCTGCTGCCCCTGGCCTCTGCTTCCCCTGGCCTCTGTGCTGCCCCTGGCCTCTGCTGCCCCTGGCCTCTGCTGCCCCTGGCCTCTGCTTCCCCTGGCCTCTGTGCTGCCCCTGGCCTCTGCTGCCCCTGGCCTCTGCTGCCCTTGGCCTCTGCTGCCCCTGGCCTCTGTGCTGCCCCTGGCCTCTGCTGCCCCTGGCCTCTGCTGCCCCTGGCCTCTGCTTCCCCTGGCCTCTGTGCTGCCCCTGGCCTCTGCTGCCCCTGGCCTCTGCTGCCCCTGGCCTCTGTGCTGCCCCTGGCCTCTGCTGCCCCTGGCCTCTGCTGCCCCTGGCCTCTGTGCTGCCCCTGGCCTCTGCTGCCCCTGGCCTCTGCTGCCCCTGGCCTCTGCTGCCCCTGGCCTCTGTGCTGCCCCTGGCCTCTGCTGCCCCTGGCCTCTGCTGCCCCTGGCCTCTGCTTCCCCTGGCCTCTGTGCTGCCCCTGGCCTCTGCTGCCCCTGGCCTCTGTGCTGCCCCTGGCCTCTGCTGCCCCTGGCCTCTGTGCTGCCCCTGGCCTCTGCTGCCCCTGGCCTCTGTGCTGCCCCTGGCCTCTGTGCTGCCCCTGGCCTCTGCTGCCCCTGGCCTCTGCTGCCCCTGGCCTCTGCTGCACCTGGCCTCTGCTGCCCCTGGCCTCTGTGCTGCCCCTGGCCTCTGCTGCACCTGGCCTCTGCTGCACCTGACCTCTGCTGCCCCTGGCCTCTGTGCTGCCCCTGGCCTCTGTGCTGCCCCTGGCCTCTGCTGCACCTGGCCTCTGCTGCACCTGGCCTCTGTGCTGCCCCTGGCCTCTGTGCTGCCCCTGGCCTCTGCTGCCCCTGGCCTCTGTGCTGCCCCTGGCCTCTGCTGCCCCTGGCCTCTGTGCTGCCCCTGGCCTCTGCTGCCCCTGGCCTCTGCTGCCCCTGGCCTCTGTGCTGCCCCTGGCCTCTGTGCTGCCCCTGGCCTCTGCTGCCCCTGGCCTCTGTGCTGCCCCTGGCCTCTGCTGCCCCTGGCCTCTGTGCTGCCCCTGGCCTCTGTGCTGCCCCTGGCCTCTGCTGCACCTGGCCTCTGCTGCACCTGGCCTCTGTGCTGCCCCTGGCCTCTGTGCTGCCCCTGGCCTCTGCTGCCCCTGGCCTCTGTGCTGCCCCTGGCCTCTGCTGCCCCTGGCCTCTGTGCTGCCCCTGGCCTCTGCAAACTCGGGTGTCCTGGAGCTTCCTACCCAGAATCAAGTACTGTGCGCACTGCGAGGTGCTTCTGACCCCAGGCACCTCCTTCTGTCTGTTCTTTTTGGTTTGGCAGATGACAGAGCTCTCAGTGGGGCCTGAAACCCCGATAGACACGGCTGTCTTTGTAAGAAGGGCCCTATTCCTTGTGAAATCACTTTTATTCGGGTTATAGAGATCTGTCATGGAGAGATTGGGTACTCAATAATAATGTGGGGAAATGATCACTAGCTACTGCTGAAAAAAGGACCAAACAGTGTGTATGGTAATGATCTTGTTTCGTAATACAAAACAAAACAGACACTACACAAACACAGACCCAAAGGAAAATGATCCGGCATAAAAATATCCCTTTGGGGCTGGGGGTTGTGGCCCATGCCTGCAATCGCAGCACTTTGGGAGGCCAGGGCAGGAGGATCGCTTGAGCCCAGGAGTTCAAGACCAGCCTTGGCAACAAAGCGTGACTTAATCTCTACAAAAATTAAAAAATTAGCCAGCCACTGGTGTGGGAACCCAGGGGGTCAAGGCTGCAGTGAGCTATGATTGTGCCACTGTACTCTAGGCTGGGCAATGGACCTGGATCCCATCTCTCTCTCTCTCTCTCTCTCTCTCTCTCGTTTATGGATTGTTGCATTGTACAAGTGATGACAATTCTCTTTATTTTACTTATCTGTTCCAAATGTCTTTCAACAGTAAAGAAGTTTTTTTTTTTTTTCCCCAAAAGAAGGGATTATAAATGTTCATTTTTAAAAGAAACATGTATCACAGCACCAGAGGGAAGAGACCCAGCGGATTGGTCCTCTGCACATACTTGCTTCCCAGGGACCCACAAGTCACCCAGGAGGTAAAGAGTATGTTTACATCAGCGTTCCAAGATGAGGGTTGCCATTAACAGGTTGATGTTCTCAGCCCTGAAATCCGTTCCCATTTGAACAAATATTCCTCTTAGGAATAGTAGAGAGCTTCCCAGCAAGATGATTTAAGCAAAGGTCATAGGTTCTGTGTATCTAAAAATGTAACCCTGAAATTCTCTTTGGGTGAAAGCACTGTTACATGTCTCAGACAAGAAGTGTTCAGTTCAACGCTGAAGCACACACGTTTGCTTGTGAGCTGTTACTGCAGACACACGTTTGCTTGTGAGCTGTTACTGCAGACTTGCCTGAGATGCATCCAGAAGGGCAGGCACAGTGGGTGGGCAGCTTGTGGATGGAGGGGACCAACCAGGAGAAGACACAAAGATCTATTTTTGAGGCTTCATTTTTTCCCATCTAAAAGTCCAGCTCCATTCTAGTGGCCAGAATTGACTGCAGAGAAGGCAGGGTGCCCAGGAAGGGGACTGTGTGGGGGACATAGCATTATTACTGCCAGAGGAACCTTGCAAGGCTCAGCTGAAACTCCATCTCCCTGCACAGACTTCAGGGGTCCTTCTTGTCCTCTGGACTATTCTAGCGTTTCCTGTATGGATGCCCATCTCATACCTTTTAATTTTTAATTTTATTTATTTATTTGTATTTAAAATTTTTTTTGACATCCAATGACCTCTGAACTTTTTATTGGCCTCCTGCTCCCCGCAAAGGTTCTGCTCCCCCCAAAGGCCTCATGCCTCAGAACCTTGGTGTCGTTGGTCTCAGACACCACTTTGCCACCCACTGTCCGGCGGGCGGTGGTCTCCTGGATGGTTTGCAGGGAGTTGCTGCTGTCCAGGGCATCACCAAGATTGAAGTCCTCGCCCTCTTCCGGCAGGCGGCGGTAGGTGGTGATCTCCGGCTCCAGGCCTTGATGTTCAACAGGGCCTGGTACTCCTGGGCCTGGCGCTGTCCCTCTGCCCAGGTATGTGCTGGCTATGACTCCAGGTGCAGCAGGATCCCGTTGAGCTGCTCCATCTGCAGGGTGTAGTGGGCCTCCACCTCCCTCAGGCTGTTCTCCAGGCTGGCCTTCAGATTTCTCATGGAGTCGGGGCTGATCTCCAAGGACTGGACTGTACATCTCAGCTCCGCGAGTGTCATCTCAGCAGCTCCAACTTCGGTGGACTACATAGTGACCACTGTGGTGCTCTCCTCAGTCTGCTGAGACCTCTACTTGTCTGGCTCTGCTTGGTTCTTGGTCGTATTGGCCCTGGATGTCTGCCATGATTGTGGTTAGATCCTGAGATATGGAGGCATCTACCTCCACGGTCAACCCAGAGCAGGCAGTCTGGGCTTGGAGGCCTTTTACTTCCTTTTCATGGTTCTTCTTCACAAGAGCAGCCCCTCCTTGCGAGCCTTGATCTCTGTCTCCAGCTGCAGCCGAGCGACACTGGTGTTATCAATGACCTTGCGGAGCTCATGGATGTCGCTCCCCACAGACTGGCGCATGGCCAGCTCTGTCTCCTCGACTCTAGAGTCATCAGCAGCTAGACGGACATTGTTGCTCTGCAGAACGATGCGGGCATTGTCCACAGTATTTGTGAAGATCTGAGCCCTCAGGTCTTCAGTGGTCTTGAAGTAATGGCCCCAGTATCTGAGCTGGGGTCCCTTCTTCTCCAGCTGCTCCTGGGTTTTGCTCTCCACCTTCCGGTTCTCAGTCTCCAGGCTCCTGATTCTGTCCAGGTGGGAGGCCAGGTGGTCGTTCAGGCTTTGCATGGTCTCCTTCTCATTCTGGATTCCTCCCATGCCTGCCAGAACCCCCGCCATCCCTGTGGCCAGGCCCCTGGACCCCATATGGTTCCAGAAGCTGGTGGAGTGGGACACAGAGATCCGGGAACCAGAGCCCCCAGCCCCTGCATAGACGCTGGCAGCGCTGCTGACCAGCCGAGTGCAGTAACGGGCCACCTGGACAGAGCCCAGGGACCGGTAGTTGGTGGAGAAGGTGGAGCAAATGGCGAAGCTCATCCTGTCCATAGAGGAAGGTGGGAGGACAGGACTCAGGCTTTGCAGATACCCTACTTGTTTTTTGTTTGTTTGTTTTTGAGATGGAATCTTGCTCTGTCGCCCAGGCTGGAGTGCGATGGCATGATCTCGGCTCACTACAACCTCCACCTCCCAGGTTCAAGCGATTCTCCTGCCTCAGCCTCCCAAGTGTCTGGGATAACAGGCGCCTGGCCCCACATCTGGCTATTTTTTTGTCTTTTTCATAGAGGTAGGGTTTTACCATGTTGGCTAGGCTGGTCTCGAACTCCAGACCTCATGTAATTTGCCTGCCTCGGCCTCCCAAAGTGCTGGGATTACAGGCGTGAGCCACTGCACCTGGCCACCATTTCGTATCTTTTTAAAGGCTGCATTCTGTCTCTCGACTAGATGGAATCTCTTTGTCCTGTATCTCTTTTCTCCCCAGTGTCCAACGCAGGGCTCAGATAGGGTTAGACACAGCCATCAATAGCCAAGGGATGACTTAGATGCTCAAAAATGTGCGATCTGGTTGTGTTGTTACTAAAAATAGTTCTGTGAAATGCCACAGTTACAGCCACTTGCTGGTTTAACTCAGTGACTGAACTGGATACAGTGACTAGAGAGAATCTAAATAGTATCGAGGCCCAAGGTCAGCTGCCTAATTGATTC